CCAATAGACTTCTCTTGTCAATAAAAGCTGATCAAGATGAGTGGAATTCTTAAACTTAGTGATTTGTTCAGTGACCGCTAATTCACATGTTCTCTTATTATTGAGCATAGTTGATTTATGGTTGCAGAATCTAACTTTAAATTCTGTGGAAGATGAACCAACATATTGCAAATTACACTTATTGCAAGTGGACAAATAAATCACATTCCGGGACGGGCAAGACAGGTTTTGTCTCATGGAGTATTGGCAGCCAGTCGCCGAGCTTTGGAAATTACAGCCTTGGATTAAAAAGTTCTTACAAAGATCGCACCTTTTATACATTTAAAACAACCAGCTCTACCATCCACCTGATTATCTATTGAAAATGGCCTTATAATAGATGGTGCTAAAATCTCCTTGAGATTCTTAGTCCTACGGTAGGCCGGGAAAATAGATTTGGATGGAAAAATTTCTTTAACCCCAGGTGAAGAGTGCAATAAGTGAATGTGTTTCCTGATATAGTAGGAACTGGGACCTGGAAACTGTTTGCCGAAAAGCTATTTCTAAAATCATAGTGATCCGTTTATATATTCTGAAAAAATCAAGGCAAGAAGACGCAAAACAATTGCAAAGTTTCATGGTTTAAAACGTCTTCCTTTTAACGATAACGAGAGAATTGTGGCACTTGAAATACGCCCCAAAATGTTTCAGGGCTTTCGAAAAAGGCACACCAGGGGACTGTTGCTTAAAACTCCCGAAAGGTCATTCGTGTAACTCCGATCCGCTTATAATGAAAAGCTGTTATCTTTTTACATGTTATCAAGGGAATTAAACCCGACGCATTTGCGAAGTTTCGTGCTTTGAGTCGCCTTCGTTTTGGAGATTCAAAGGGAATTTAGGCACCCCCAAAATACGCCCAAAATATTTCGGGACTTTAGAGAAACAGGCCCCTGGTCCGAAACTGAATCTCAAAACTATGTAGTAGTGGAGGAGATGTGGATGGTGGAGATGGACGACTGAAGACTATCAATTGTCGTCTGGCCTTGAAAAGCTAAGGACATCTCCTGGGTGAACCATGGGGGCAACAAGACATAATCACACTTTGTAGCCGCTGATCGTGTACAAGAGACTTTTTCAGGCAATCCAACATTCCACTCAAGCTTGTACTGCACCACGGGACCAGGACCTTCACAAGCGTCCTCCACTACAATTCCCTTCAACCACTGTAAGAAATCATCGGCAAATCCCACACAAGAACGAGGATCCCAGCTTGATAGTGCTTGTCCGATCCTAGGAGGACAAGACATATTCGGGTATCGGATCTGTGAGAGTATGCTTTCTCTGTCGAGGCTTGACAAACGTACTAGGCGTGTGCCATCTCGTATCCCGTAGATAATTGTCTTCATGTCTCCAGCATACATGTGGTACCACCAGTCGCGTAGTTTGTACATCGGAAACTTCCATTCGTCTCGGCCTGTGTATTTCATGCACATTTTCATTTCGATGTACGTACCCTTTGGAGGGAATGAAAAGAACAACGTGAAATGTATTTTTCGGCGTTTGACGAAGGAATTAGGAAGAAATGTGTTGGAGAAGAAATCCTCCGTTAGCTGGGTGTCATGTTGCATATTTTGGAGCGTCTTTTATGCAGCTTATTGGTTACTCTGTCACAAATCGGTTCTCACTTCCTAAGACAGCAGTTATTTTTTCTTAATTATTCGTTATTAATCTTTTGCTACGTTTTGTTCTCTTTCTTGATANCCACCAGTCGCGTAGTTTGTACATCGGAAACTTCCATTCCTCTCGGCCTGTGTATTCCATGCACATTTTCATTTCGATGTACGTACCCTTTGGAGGGAATGAAAAGAACAACGTGAAATGCATTTTCCGGCGTTTGACGAAGGAATTAGGAAGAAATGTGTTGGAGAGGAAATCCTCCGTTAGCTGGGTGTCATGTTGCACATTTTGGAGCGTTTTTTCTGCAGCTTATTGGTTACTCTGTCACAAATCGGTTCTCACTTCCCAAGACAGCAGTTATTTTTTCTTAATTATTCGTTATTAATCTTTTGCTACGTTTTGTTCTCTTTCTTGATATTTTTTCACATTCTCCACTTATATCATGAGTTTCATGGTTCGTCACATGGCAAAGTGTCACAGTGTCTGGCTCTTCGTGTGTCACAAAACTGTTACTATTTTGTTAAGGACTAGGGTTAGGGGACACTTTGTGATGTCTATCACAAAGTATGATATCCTTATGTCGGACAACCTATTCGTCGTGAAACAAAATTTATACAGTAAACTCCACGTATAAGAACCTAGATTTTTCCAAGTCACCCCGAACACGTTCTTATGTAAATGGTGCTTAACTTGAAATCAGGTTATCTAGGTTCTTAAATGGGTTCTTATGTTTTTGGTATGTACCTGTATTGGTGGGCGTAACCTTTTATACTAAATTATTCACACATTTTCATGCTAGTTACAACGAATGTAGTGGAGTACAAACATTAAAGGCACAAATCATACAAAATAGTGCTAAGTTATACAAATGTTATTGTTTTTTATTGTTTTGCAAAGTATAGACCGTNATGGCATCTGTCCGTCTCGAATAAACTCTGGGCACAGTTCGGTCCGAATAAAGAACAAGATCGACACGAAGTGCCAATAAATAAACCATGGCAGTTCAAGAATCTCATAGAGTTTCGAATAGAAAAAGGGCTCAATCTCGACACAAGCATAGTTCGGTCCCTGAGTAAACCTGAACAAGAAGTACTAATAAATAAAATAGTCTAAAAAGCAGAAGTTCAACACGAAAAATCAGTAAATTCAGCGAACCTTGGATGAGTGCAGCAAAATGGTGCAATTGCAATGTATTAAGCCTTAGGAGACGAGTAGAATTTTCTTATTTGTGCCGGGATTTTCGATTTGCAGCTGTTTACAAAAATTCGTTGCTAACAAAACCCGAACCCGACCAGTACAACATTTATAGCTAAATAGATTGACGCGGAGATTAACGCCCGGCCCAAACGCCGCTCCATTCATGTGCCGAACCAAACCTGATTAAATTCGACTTTAGGCCCAGTTCAGACGTCATGCTTCTGTCGTGCCGAACTAAATTGCAATTAGGTTCGACTGTAGCACAGTAGGAAAACAACTCTGATTCAGACGTCGTGTCAGAGTCGAACCAAATTCAGGTTATACTGATGCCCGATAACAATTGTCCTACTAATTCCCCGTGGGAAGGCAATCTCGGCAAAAATTACATTAATATAATTTACGAATTTTGTTTAGCGCGGCAGAAGCACGACGTTTGAATCGCTGCCGTGCCAGAGTCGTGTAGCACGGCAGAGCTTGTCGAACTTAATTGCTTGCCGAACTTAATTCAAAAGTTTGATTCAGACGCCGTGCTTCTGACGGCACGGCAGAAGGACGACGTCTGAACTGGGCCTTAGAGCGACTTTGGAGCGACAGCTGGTTCAGACGGCGCACTTACGTCGAACTTAATTCGGAAAGCCGGTGGTAACAATTTTCGACGAGAAAATATTCGTTCTGAATTCAAGAACTCTGTCGAAATAGAAAAGCTGTGACTAACATTTCGCTGTTATAGCAATATTTAGGGAAGCAAATTCAAACTAGTACTCAAGATTCAGTGTTTGCATTTAGACAGGTTTTCTCCTGGTTAAATCGACTTGTTAAAGGGAAATCTAATAAGTTGGGCTATTTTCACGAAGAAAAAGCAAATAATGAATTTGCGCTAAAGAAACTCGCTTATACAGTCCCGTTTCTCGTAAATCGAAGGCTTACTGGTATTTTGTTGTCTCTATTTTTAGCGATGACTTCGAGCTTCATGCATGAATGGTCACGCCACTCAATTTTGAGCCAATCACGGGTCCTGTTATATGAAAACTAAATTACAGTAATTTATGCATTAGGTTCGACACATGAGGGGAACGCCGTATGAATCAGCTGCCGCTCCAACGTGGCATAGTGCGACAGACCCTGCCGAATTTAATGTTGTTTGCCGCACCAAACCTAACCTGCCAAACCAAACTGATTCAAACGCCCCTCTTCTGTCGTACTTAACCCATCAGTTAGGTTCGGCGCATGAATGGAGCGGCGTTTGGAACGGGCCTAAGTCATCATCATTAACTAACCGTTTGTTTCCGCCTGTTTCGTCTTCCTTCAGAAGTTTGTCTTTGTTTTGCACGGTCCAGTACAATAAAGCATCAAAAGGCCTCTTAATACTTTTAATTAAGTGATCCCCTTCGGAGCGAGTAAAACCAACAGAAAGATCACTTCCAAGAAGTTGTTCATAGTTGGTTTTCAAACTGCGAAGCTCTCTTCTGTCATTGTTGTGAAGAGTTCCATCTTTGTCGATAG